AAGGCAGGCTAGTGAATTCACAATGCACCCGTGAGTGGCAACGTGCAGGACTTGATGGGAAGAGAGACTGGGGGCGCGGGGGAGGAGAGGCGGGCAGTGAGGAGGATCCCAGGCCTCTAGGCGGATGGAGGTGCTGGGGAGGCTGAGCAAGCCCAGCGTGGGGCAGGGTAGGAGGATGGACACCACGGGTCAGAGGTCAGAAAGCAGCAATGTGTCCTGCAGTTTGCTAGGCTGGGCTAACGAACACACAGAGCCAGCTGCCAAGTTAACAGGAAAGCACGCACGGCAGTGTCTTAACGGCCCCTCTTTCGGTGACCACTCATTCATAAAAAGCTTGTTTTGTAAAATCCCAGACTATCAGAAATTCTGCTGTTTGGAATTATACCACTAAAAAGAAAACATCCTCCTGTTCCCTGCAGAATCAAAGTCACTGGGACACAGAGCAGCAGCCTTGATTTCCTGCTGGCTGCAGAGCTTCAAATAAGGCACTTCAGACACGATGTTCCACGTCTATTCATTTTGTGGTTTTCAAAGACAAGGCCCGGATCCACTGTAGTAGGATATGGTGACAGCCCCACACACGGCCCTATTTTACTTGGAGCCCATCAAAACATGTTTAAGGTGCACTTCACCTGAACTCCATCCCTCCCCAAATCCCTCGGCAATGCCGGCCTTTTGTTGTCAAGAGGCCCACCGTTCCTCTGCTGTGTGGTCTCCCTCGTCGGGCTGCGGGTCCCTCCTGACGGCTGCAGGCTGGCTGCTTGTAAGACAAATAGTGAGAACTTGAAACTATCGCTAAAAAAAAGCAAGAAGAAACACCAAGGAGGAGTCGGATACAGGACCGCAAGCCTGGGGGTCTGGGCCGAGCCGAGGACCAGAGATCAACCCCGGGAGCCACCGGCATGGAGACAGACACGAAGCTGTGTGTGCAGGAGACCACCCACGGAAAAGCCACGGAGTGAGGGGAGAAGGGGCCTAGGCCTGAGCCTCAGGCAGCTCCACTAGCCGAAAGGCTGCCGCAGAGGAGGACACATCGGCAAAGCAGGCCAAGACAAAATGGCCAGGGAGCGGGAAGAGATGGCCGCTTGGAGGGGCCTGAGGAAGACCAGGGGATGGGCGGCAAGAGCTCCCAAAGCCTGTGATCGAGTCACCGCGGATTCTTCTGTGGCCCTCGCTCCTGCACGCACCGCAATCTGACGTGGTGTCTCCAAAGACTGCCTCGTGCTGACGAATCCGTGAGACCCTGAGCGCAGGTTGATTACCCCGCGGAGAGACATAACCACCCAGCACGCTGACATACCCTGCTACGGGTCAGCACGTCGCCTCCCCAAAGACAAACGCGTGCAGCGACTGACTGCTCTCAGAGGGTCGTCGGAGGAGCATGGGACCAGAAGCAGGGACTCAGAGGCCAGTGACCTGGAGCGACAGCGTAACCAGTGACACGAGCACATGCGGCAGGGTCCCAGGGGGAAACAGAGGTCCAGACGTTGAGATTCACGGAAAGGACTACTTACAGAGAGGAGAGCGGCACAGGGGACACAACGGGGTTGCTGAGGCACCCAGAAACTAGCGACAGCGCACCCGACGAGGGAATGGGAGAGACTCAGCGGGAGCTGAGACCGTCTCCGGGGCCCAGAGGTAGAAGCCACAGCTGTGGAGGCCGCAGGAGGAAACACCCCAACCCCTGTCTCCGCCCCTGACGCCTTCCACTGGTGAGCCCCGGGCAGCCAGCAAGAAGTCAGAGGCGGGCAGTCTGCAGGAGCCCCCTGCTGGGGGCACACACCACAGGGCAGAGGAGAGCGGGTCTGAGGATTCCTAAGAGAAAACAAACAGGGCAGGGAACTCCGACGGGCATGCGCGTTTCCCCATCCAGCGGACGCGGCTGCGCCCTCCGCCGGGGAAGCGTGCACAAACCTGGCGTGCGTGCTGTCCCCACACCTTCTCGTCGGCACTAGCGCTGGGGACCTGCGGCCTTCCTAGAGACCACCGGTGATGGTGAGCGGTCCGACGCAGGGTGGCGCGTCAGCCTGCAGCGCTGCGGGCGGACTCAGCTATAATTCAGCCTCAGCTACGCAAGCACAGAATCAGCCCCAGAGGCTGCCTTGAGGACGTCAACGGGCGCCCAGACTGCTACCCGACGGGCAGCCCAGCTCACATCTCCAACTCTGAACGGACAAGTCCTGGCAGTCCCGGACCCAAATCAGGGCTAGACACTGACCTGTCCGTCCACCCAGAGACAAGTACGCACGCGCCAGTCTCTGCACACACGTTAACTCCATGCAGCCCGTCCACGGGGCGAGATCTTCAACTGACACACTTAATTTTCAGAGCAGCGCTTTTCAATGACAAAAGCGTCACACGTGTTTGCCAGGGACGGGAGCTGGAGGGGAAGAGAAGCTGGTGAGGTACTCCAGAAGAGCTGGCAGCCCTTCTTCCAACACGAGCGTAGGGGTCTGAGTCCCTCCTGTGAGGGCACCTCTCTTCCTTAGGTCTTTTCTGACTCTCGCACAAGGAATTACAAGGACTGTAGCAGCACCCCGAGGCGTATTTACAGCTGCCCTATGGTTGTTTACGGGAGATTAGTCTGCTGGAACACACCGCGTCGCCGTCGACGGCTGCTAAGAATAAGACTCACTTTTCTCCACAATCTTTAACTTCTGGAAGCTTTCCAGCACTTCCCCATTTAGTATTCTGGGCAAGAAGTCCCGGATTTGCATTACTTCAGTCGTCAGGCGTTCCAGGTCCTTCTTTCTGACTTTCACAAATTCTTCTTTAGATCCCACCTGCTAAAACAACAAGCAGATCTTAAGATTATTAACATTTCTCTGCGGAGGACAACGACCCGCAGCCCAAGGCGGCCTCCTTTCCCTAGCGCCTCTATGTTCCTGATGGTTTCGATAGCGGGGCTCTGCTCCACCCAGCCCGCCCTCTGCGCTGTAGGGTACATCTTGACAGCTGGAGCCACAGGCTGCAAGGGGAAGCCAGTTTTTGTCTTCTCCCTGCACCGAGGCCTGAAGCCATCCTCCTGAAAACCAAGGACAGGCCCGGCACCCGGCTCCTCGGCGGCTCCTGGGGAGCAACGGGAAGGTCACTGCACTCCTGCTGGGGGCACCTGGCCCGCGGGGGGTCAGCTCACTTGGCATCCCCAACCCCTCAAGGTTGTCCGGGTCACGAGCAGAGGCACAGGCAGGTTAAGTGACCTCCTTAGGGTAACGCCGTTAACGGGACAGAACCGGACCCTAAACCCGGGTCTCTCCCGCATCACCTGCTGTGGAGGCGACAGCGTGGCGACCTGCGGCCTGCGTTCTCCCTGCACCTGGCACTGAGCCTTGGAAGGCGCGTTAGGGCCTTGCGAGGAGGGCCGGGCTCGGACCGCATGTCCCGCCGCCGCGCCCACGGCCCCCGCGCGGGGGCCCCCGCCACGCCCCCAGCCCCCCCCCCGGGCCACGCTGCCCCGCGGACGAGGCCCAGGGCTGTCCAAGGAGCCCTGGGCAAGCCCAGGCGGGCCGCCACACGGCGCGAGGAAGACAATGGCGGCCGCCCGGACCCCTCACTGACCCGTGAGGCCTCCTCAGCGCCGCCTGCTTCGCCCATGGCCGCCGCAGCCAAAGCTCCGTGCGCCTGCGCGGCGGCGCGCCCTCTGACCCCCTCACGCCAGAAAGAGCGGGAACGTATCCACGCCGGGGGGGGGGGGGGGGGAAATCAGGACGGCGAGCCACGAGGCTCAAACTTCGCAGAGTTCGCGCTGCATTTTTCGGTTTTACGGACGAGGGTTGGGCATGGTGAGATACCGCGTCGGCTCTCCTGGCTTAGCCGGGGCTTTAAACTCGTTAACTGCAAAATAGAAGGACAGTGAAACCCAAGTGTAAGTGTCAAGTTAAATAAGTCAAATCGGGATTGGGCCTTTCCTGTTTGGCAAGGGACGCTAGACCAACGGGCTGTGTGTTCAAAGGAACAGCCGCCACGCAGCCGGCGGCCATGCTCCCACGCTGGGCTCTAAGCTCCAATAGCAAGGCTCGAAGCTCTCCGACAACAGACTCCTCGCGAAGTCAGCCCTGGATAGGGAAGGTCAGTCTAGCCAGCTGGCTAAATAACTGAGACGACCACCATATATTGGAAGATGCCACCTAGTCCATTTACTTGCCCCAGTACGACCACTAAATTCACAAAATAGGGTGCAGCCTGTAGGTTTAAATGTACTGGGTTACTACGATAACTAAGACGTCGTTTATTTCTAAGCTGGCAGGAAGCCAACACTGCCCGAGTTCCCTGAATGCTCTCCAGGCCTAAGGATGGACTCGCAAGCACTCCCTCCAAACTCCTGCCCCACACCGGGACCTGCCCCTGCCATCCTCTGCACTGGGACCCGACCCTGGCCCTACCATCCCCTGCACCAGGACCTTCCCTGTCCCTGGACCTGCCCTGCCCCTGTGCCAGGACTTGTCTTTGCCCTGGGACCTGTCCCGGGACCTGGACATTGGGAGATGCTGGAGGGCCCTGCCTCCGCCAGCAGCAGAGGCTCAGACCTGGACCCCGTCAAGGCGGCCCCTTAATGGGGCTGTCCCCAGCATCCCGCCAAAAACCCCAAGGACTGCCATCTTCTCAGTCTCCACCCGGCAGAGGCGGCTCGAGGAGTCCAATACAATTAAAAACTCAGTGCTGTCTATCTCGTAGGTGAGTGATCGATCGGATGGAGATTTGTAGAGTGAGTTTAAAGATTGTAGACTACGGCCATCCATCTCTTCCCGGCCAAGACCCATCGCTAGCTAACCTCGCCGCCAAACGCCCAGAGATGTGGCGACAAGAGACAGCGGAGGCGCAGGAGAGCGAAGTCGAGACCGAACTCGAACTGGGCTGCTCCGCCCACTGCCTGGGTCTGCCGCGCTCGCACCCAGAACGCGCTGCGAGCTGTGGCCGGCGCCTTTGTGACGCCATCAGCCCGCGCGCCGCCCCCGCCCGCCGCCGCCGAAGCGAGCCGCCTTCTGCGCAGACGCGGCCCCGGGCTGCTCGGTGGCGGCGGGAGGCTGCGGGTGGCGGGAGGCTGCGGCCGGGGATGGTCCAGCGGGCGCGATGGCCCCCGCCATGCAGCCGGCCGAGCTCCAGTTCGCCCAGCGGCTGGCGTCCCACGAGAAGGGCATCCGGGACCGCGCGGTGAAGAAGCTGCGCCAGTACATCAGCGTGAAGACGCAGAGGGAGACAGGTGGGCGCCCGGCGGTCAGCCGCGCCACATGGCGGCCGGGCAGGGGGGCCGGGGGGAGCCGGGAGAGCGGCGGGCGCGGACTCGCACTCCCGCCGCGGCCCTGTGTGCCTCCGCGCGGTGGGACCCGCTTCCTGCCGGGGCCAGCCGGGTGTGACGGTGGAGGGGCTGCAGCCCGCAGGGGCGAGATGGTCTGCCGAAAGTCTCGGCGAGTGGCGAAGCCGGGAGTGGACGAGTCTGTCCGACCCTGAGCCTGCCCCTTGAGTCACCAAACTGAGCCCGGTTTCTTCTGCTGTGCTCTCCGTTGATGCACGTGTTTATCTGACCCACACCCACCTGAGGTGCGGGAGTTACAGGAGACGAGAGAATCCCTACTTTGAAAGTTGCACTAGTAAATCGGGGCGGGGGCCGGATAACTAAAAGAGAGTTTTACAAGTGGAGGCAAGGAAAGGAAAATCACGGGAAGAGGGAGCTCCTCTACATAGGCTGTTCCAGGAAGGCCTCTGGGTGACGTTCAACGGATTCCAACAGGCGGGAGAGAAGAGCGAAGCTGCCCTAGGAGTGGCTGGAAGACCAGTTAAGTGAGAGAGGGGGAGGGTGTTAGGACTTAAAGTTGGAAAAGACAGCAGTGGCCAGGTCACACGGGGCCTTTTAGTTCGTTTCTTAACTGCAGTGGGGTGCTGTTGAAGGATTTCATTTACCTGAGCCAAGGTGCGTTCTGTAAACCCTCGAGAGCATGAACCACCATAGGCGGTGGAGCTTTTACGTTGTGCAGGGATGAATTTGGATTTACTGCTAATGCTAATGCGTTTAGAGTCTACTTGAAAGAACGGGTACTATCTATCCCAGGACTGACTTTCTTAGTTTGTTTTGTTTGGAGGAGAGATCCCAAAAAGACTGCCCAGGGAAAAGAAAGTAACAGTCTGACGGGAAGTCAGCTAGAAAGGAATGAGGACCGAATTCCTAACGTCAGTTCTGTTAGGGACCTCCCTGAGGGCTTTCATTCACATGGTGTCGGGCATCCCCAGTACACCGAAGGTTCCTCAGTCTAAGTCTCTAGAACAGATCTGGCACTTGCGCCGGGGTGTCCCATGGGCACCTCGGACTCAGAGGCCCACAAGGGATTCGTTTTCCTCCCCCTGAAACCCGTTCTCTCCTGCTTCTCCTCTGCCACCTGTGTTCTCGTATCTTGGATGCTGTCCCCACTATCTACTCACTCTGGCTGGACATGTGGTGACGGCCTAGACTCCTTCCGGATCTTCGCTCCCCACCCCTCACCCATTGTGTCTTGCTTCTACCATTTTTCACTGTCTGACATCCTCTGACCTCACTGAAGACCCCCTTCATCTCAGCCAGACCTCTGAACTTGATCACTTCCTAACCAGTCTCCTTAACTCCGTCGGCGCCGCTCTTAAACCCATCTTCCGCAAACCAGCCCAGGGCCATCTTCCTAAGGCGGTTCTGACCATGTCACCTACTTCCCTGGGTTTCCAGGTCTGCAGGTAATGGTCCATCCTCCCTTTCTCTTCCTACCTCGGCCCCGACGTGACTGCTTCGTCCTGGATCCGCATTGGTTCTCACCTCTCTACCTTTGCTTCTCTTGTTCACTCCTAGCATCCCGTTCAACACAGCTTCCTCCGGAGTGCCTTGCCTCCCATCTCACCCCACCCCTCCAGGATTCCAAACTATCCAGTGGGTCTCAATGGCAACACTTAGGTTGCTTTTTCCTAATCTGTTAGTGTATCATTCTGCGCCCCCTCCCCCCACCCGGCAGTGGAAGTTTCCAATCTGCTTGGCTGGAAGTGGGAGCAGTGGGAGCGCGTGCAGGCATCTGCGGACTCACCTGTCTGAACACAAGAATGGAAGAGAGGCCAGATGCAGTACATATGGGCCAAGATGGCCAGACAGAACCTGTTGCTCAAACCTTTTTGATGAGCACGCTCAGGATCTGAAACGCTGAGGGGACACAGGGCCATGATGCCAGGGGGTTTACACCAGTGCCCCCAGGGT